CACTCACTCTCACACCAGTGTCTGTTTGAAGACGAGCGCTGATCGGATTTGCTGTGATGACACGATTTCTCAAGGCCAAGGTACGGATAAATCGATCCTGGGCTTGAGTTGTCGCCCTTGGTCGACCTGAGCGTGGTCTGTCCTGTACAGATTGTGTATCACGGTATCTGGACCATAGCCTGCTTATGACAGACTGAGAAACATTCATCGTCCGCGCCACAACCGCCTGTGTTGTGCCGATCTGTAGCATGCCAAGGGCACGTAACCTTTCATTTTGGGTAAGCCGACGCATATCAAAATTTGTTTTCTTGTCACTAAAACAATTAAACTGATGTTTCCACCCTGGAATTCAATGCCACAATGACTGTAACATTCAAAGTCAGAGTCGTGCAAATCTTGGGTTGGACCCCCATGATGATCCCAAGCATCACCTGCATTCCATGCGGTAGCTATTGGTGCGTTTGGGCGTCACATGTAACTGGAAATGTTTCTTCTGTTAGGTTCTATAGTGACTTTTTTCGTAGTCATTTGCATATTTTAGTATTATTCCCCCAAAATCAAATATCCCCTACTTTTTTTGAATAGTATATTTACGTATGCTTATTCATCCGGCTGTGCCGCAATATTGCGAAAACTTCATTTAATGGGTTGGAGAAACGAGCACTTTAACTTTAATGGGATAAAACCACCTTTGATTATAATTCAGTTTTAACCTTTAAGGTGACATCTAATAATTCATCTTATAAATCTTAATACTCAGACAAAAAAGGCAATTTGTCATGAACGGATTTTTCAAATGTCATTTCAGAATTTCTTACGCGATTAAATTAATTTCTTTCTTAAATGTCAAAACATTATAGAATGTACTAAAACTTTTCTCACACGGAATTTTAGAAAACAACTTATAAATCAAGAAATAACATGTCTTCAAACTCTGGTGGAAGCCCAGGAGGCTTAGTGCGTAAGACGCTGACTCGCTAACAAGAAGGTTCCAGGTTATCTCCCCTTGTCAGTGGTGCCGGGCGGGTTAGTTAACAGCTTCTCGAGGTCTATCGGAGAGATTCACGTGCTCTCTTGGGTCATATTGTTACCTCTTGCGTTTTCTGTGTCCCCGGGGACGTAATCATGATAGCTTATCTAAAGAAGTCTTCTATCATAAATGTTGCATATTACGCCGATCAATTGCGCAGGTTGGGTGGTGAAATCAAAGAAAAGCGCCGTGGACAACTTAGCAGGAAGTGCCTGGCTGTTCCAAGCCGATGCTCCAGTCATACCATCCAAATAGCACATGACTATGGTTTCACAATCTTCCCTCACCCAACCTATTCTCCAGACCTCCAGTCTTCCGGGGTCTCACATTTGATAAGGTCACCACTGCTGTGTTAAATATGCTAGATGCAACAAGTGCATTTCATGTCATTATTTAAACATGCATTATGCAAGAGCTACATCTGTCTATTTGCAGGTCTCTCTTTAGGCCTGAAATTTTATATAAACTATTAATTAGACATTTATTAACATGACAAGACCTTAATCAACTCTCGATGGCATCGCTAGCCTGTGATATTTACTGGATTAGGATCCGATTAGCTGCTTAACATTCATAATGATTAAATCATTGAATTGGATAATCGAGACTATGTTTTTTTTATCGTACCGACATTAGTAATGATGATCGAGGCTAGGCCAAAAATTCAATCGCTAAATTGTCGGTTCAGAGTGGATCAATTTGACTAAAAGTTTCAGCAAATTCCCTTTACATTATCTAGTTTTTAACTATTATAGTGAGAACTGTCAGCTCTTTACCTAATCTCCCATAATGTGTCTTTAAATAAATACATACTAAAAGATAGGTATCAACTTAAAATTCAACTAAAAAAATGTACCAGCTCTTTCTCTAATCTCCCATAGTGTATCTTTAAATAAATAAATACTGATAGACAAGTATCAACTTAAAATTCGATAAAAAAAACTGTAAATAACATATTTCCAGTAACGTTTGAAATTGTTAGTAATTATCTAATTGATGGAATAAAGATACTTCAATAGCTGAATTAGCGTTAATAAAAATGAAACATTGATAAAACCTTTTATAAATTTTACAATAATCGACTGTTATAGTTAGATCGCTTGAATTGTCTATTCTATTATTATATTCATGTGGAGTGACTTCTATTTATGTACCAGAATAGATCACATCTTTTATGGTGGTATTATTCAATAGTTTTCAATATTCAATATTTTATATCAAATACAACAAAAAATATCTAGTTTCCTTCCTAGTCAAGGCGGAGTGTCAGGAGTAAAAATTTGGTGAGACTTTAACTGAGTTCGTTCGTTCGTTCGTGGAGATTTACCTCCACTTCCACCAAGGGTGATATGGTAGACACCGAGTAAACTATAAATATATATAAATATTTGAGGCACCTTGTTAAAAGTTAAACCAGAAGGTTTAACGTCCTACTGTTCTGCTCCTAAACTGGGCTAATGAAGACGGGCATACGCCATACAATGTGCTATGAGGGAAATTTTGCCCGGGCAGCGGCACTATCGCCTACTCTTATATCGAATTCCAACTGCCAGGGGATCTTTTACGTGCACGCCAATATGTACACGGGACCTCGGTTTTTCGTCCCATCCGAAGGACTAGACAGCTGTCCTTGTCAGGCCCTCCGTCCTGCATCACTGACAAGGGGGAACCACGCCCGAAAATCTGGATGAACTTTCTCGGCCAATGCAGGGATCGAACACCCGACCTCCAGGCTAGCGAGCCAGCGTCTTACCCACTTAGCCACGTGATCCCCTAATCTTGTGCTACTAATTTGTTTCACAATATCATCAGTAACGGCGATAGGCCTAAATATTTACTTCAGATCCACCTCAAAATTATTCATTTTTTAAATTTTTTTACAAATAATTTCAGAATTCTATATGATCGTTAATAAAAGTTTTCGCTTAACTTAACATCATTTTATCCCTCTCAGTGATTGCAGAAAACTTGCTGTGGGTTAGTTTAGGTTCTAAACGATCAAGCACTAATTTACGGAACACGGTCGGTTTAATTGTTCATTAACAACATGCAATTGTGATACATAAAAGCATAACAGAAGAACCTACAGCCACGAGGAAAATCTATGCTACAAAGTTGAGTTGTGTTATAAAATACAACCGAGGCGATTTTATATATTTACTCGAGCAAAGGCATCACGATGCATAGTCCCATTGGGAACAATTCTGGCGGCTCCCCAGGTTCAGTGTCGCGGTCTGTTTTATTCAAATGATTTCTTAAAAAATACCAGAAATGACTACTTGTTTTATTGAACGCGTACTTTTATACTTATATACGTACGGGAACAGTGTTATTTGACAAGACTAAAGTAGAATACCCTAGAGGTGCCCAATACCGAGCGGTTGGTCCAATTGTCTTAAAGCCGTTCCTGATCATGACCACTAAGTACTGCTTTAGAGCTCATATTGCATAGTTTATTACTCAAGTATTAAAATTGCCGCTTGACACCAACAGACTCTCTAAAATTATAAATTCATGAAAACAGCAATAATTCCACGTGAATCGGCTTAGTTTGTTATTATTAATCTGCCTTTTATTATACTGAATGTTGAATATTCTTATTGAACATACAATTACAGGAGCTAAATCTGTCTATTGCAGTTCTTTCTGCAGGCCTGAAATGCTATCTTAATTATTAATTAGACATTTAAAATTAACTTGTCCAAACCATAATCAACTCTCGGTGCCATCTTATGTGTCGGATTTTCACTAGATTTAAATCCGATCTGCTGCTCAACGCTCAATGATGATTAAATTCAAAAATGGATAATCGAGACTATGTTTTTTTTATCGTACCGACTTTAGTAATGATGATCGAGACTAGGATTAAAATTCAAAAGCTAATGTCTCTGTTCAGAGTGGGGCAATTTGACTGAAAGTTTCAACATTTTCTATTTACGTTATATATTGTTTAACTATTATAGCGAGAACAGTCAACTCTTTAACTTATCTCCCATAATACCTCTTTAAGTTAGAAATTCTTACAGTTTAAGCCCCAGTACTTGCATTATTCTTGGTAACATTGTCAACTAATTAAAATAAAACATTCAAACTTTTTACTTGAGAAATGTGGAAATTTTAGGATTCATTTGGTTTGTAGATGGCCACAGCATTCTATGTTTTAAATCCATGCAAAATAAGGGACTTAATTTGTTTTAATGAATTAATAAAATTATGGATACATTAAAGTCACATAGGAGATAAACAGTCACTGTTTGCAATTAGGGGACGGTTATTGTTCATGCGATATCGCTTTATTCTTTCGCTATCAGCTAATAACAATATTTCTACTTTCGGACTAAAAGGGTTGCTGAAATGAGTGTTACATAATGCAGTATTTGAGATAAACACTCTAAACGTTTATTATTTATAAAATAAACGTATCCCCAATGCGTTGATGTCAGCACGCCTGTCTAGTTAACGAAGTACATTGAAGTAAGAACTGTAAATGATTTACCCTAATATAAGCACATTGCCATAAAGTTTGTTCCCTTAATTGTTTAAATAAATACGCCTGTCCAATTTCGTGCAATGCGCAATTAACTGGTAACGAATAAGGAGATTTTCAAATTTAACACAAACCGGTCATCCTAAGGGACAATCTATGATCATCTTACTCCCCCCCCCCTCCCACACACAAAACAACAGAAAACTTAACATAAACAGACAAACACAAATGAAACCCCAAACCAAAACGAAAGAAAGCAAACGTTTCAAACACGCTCTGTTTGAGAATTCGTTTCTGAATTCCTACGAGTTTGTTTCAAAAGGATGTTACTCCTTTTTTTCAATCCCAAGACATCGTCCATGATTGTGGTATACATATTAAAAGGGGCCTTCCACTAGCCTTGAATAAAATGCGAAGTGCAACATGTATTCTATTTAACCACGTTGACATTTAAATGTACATGTAATCAAATTCCGTCCTTACCTGTTAGTAAGTACACCAAGTCTAATAATAGATTCTATTGTTCTTCTATATTATATTCGATCACTGCTATTACAGTAGACTGTGCCAACGACACCAGTATGTTTATATCAAAAACCAATATCAAAAGTGACAAGCCTAGATGGTCGCACTTACTGTTAAAGGAAGTTGTCGGCTTCTCTTCCTTACAAGTAATGAATAACAACGGTGTCTTGGAATCGACTGTCTATAGAATTCATAACGAGACCTAGTGCCCTTTATTTAATTAACGGGAGGCAATCCTGGGAAGTATTGGCCGTATAGGTAGACCTGTTGCTTTATTGATTCGAGATGGAGTCGGCGTTTTACGGCTTATTATCAAGTAGAAGGGTATTGATACGAGATCCAAGTAATTGTTCCCGCCAGAAACTCGACCAAATCTTAAGGGGGTAGCAGACGTCACTAGAAGAGTGTCATGCACTCGCGAGCTTAAACGATGATGACGTGAAGTATTTTAGTCTACGAGCAGATCGCCCTTAAAGAGGCCGACCTCTTATACCTCTCAATAGATTAGTATCACTTAGGAACAATAGCAATTTTAATGATTGTTTACGATTGGCTATTTTGGATACCATTAAAGCTAACACCGCTTTTCATTCCGCAGAAAATTGGAATTGACGTTTGAAAGAATGGAGGAGGGCAATAATGTGAAAAACGAAAAGATTTCTGGTAACGATTTTATGCCACTTATGCAAACTCTTGCATTTCTGTAATGACAAGAGCTGCCAAGATAATTTACCCGATAAAAACAAAAATTTGATTTAGAAAGTAAACTCGGGGGAAGATAAAGTAAATAATGTATAGATGAAATGTTCACAAAGTGAGGTATTACCCGGGACGAACAATTTGGTGTAGTTTATTGCCAATGAAATCTTGGTCTTAAATAGATAAATTGATACCGTTACAGCCATTCCTTCCAATAATCTGATAATAGATAATCCAATAAAATGGTGGTAATACCATTTCTCTTTCCGCCCGTAAAGACTAATGGCAGCACAAACCTAAACCTGAACAAAAAGAATGGGCGGCCAATAAAATGTTTACAGATATTAGGAGAAAACGAAAGTATTCTATAGAGAACTCAATGAAATAAATCTTCATTGACAAGATTTATCACACAAAAAACAAAACTCTCTCTGCAGTGATTAAGCTTATCAATAAGAAGGTATCACAAATGTCTTTCAAGATTAAATCTTGCTACTGAAAGCAAGTTTTTATTAGGCCCCCGGTGATGGATTATTTAAGAAAGATGTAAAATAGATTTGCCATTCCGAAAGGCGAAATTCATGGTAAATTGTTGGTTCGTATCGAATTATAGCGGGTTTTTTTTATATTTGTAAATATAATAGAACTGTAACCAACTTATAACATTTTGTTAACAACATAACAAACGGTATTATGTATAACGTTTTGTCTACATTAGCCAACTTATAACATTTTGTTTACAACATAACAAACGGTATTATGTATAACGTTTTGTCTACATTTTGGTATTAGAATATATAACGACAGACATTATTAACCAACTTAAACCATTTTGGTAAATTTTCCCCGCGTAAATACATAATACACCGAACTTAACCGGTTCTATTCTATGCCAATTTTATTTATGTATAGATAAGATATAAACATTGTAACCCCCAACAACAGTGTCGTCCTCATACAATATCCGGACCACCTGATATCACATGTCATCTTAATGGGTGGAGGGGGCTGCCGTTGGTTTCACATACTAACTTTGAATAGTTTCCATCATTTTCGCTGATAACTTCAATTTTATGGTTTTGCATCTATGTTAAATTGTGTTGATTTTCTAACAGACATGATTTACATCAAATAAACTACACCATTCTATTTACGTATTAATACACACATGACATATATAGCATCATTTATTAATGAGACGTTGTTGGAATTTAGAAGAATGGATCTAACTCTAGATATCCGCTGAGACCACATTGATGTCACATGAATGTGGTGCCTATAAAATGATTGCTATAAATGATATATTAATAAATATTCGGTCGCCTAGCGTGATGGTAATGAGGATGGTAATGAGGATGTAACACGTTGTAATAGAAATCTGTATAATCATTTTCGCTAAAGATTTATCTAACAAAATAACTGTAAATGTATAGATAGCTTACATGGAACATTTCCACAACTATCACAAAAATGGGTAAGCTAGGGGACCAATTGTAGGAAGACAAGTCATCCAAGAAGCATACCAACTACGACCGCCTGACAAACAGCAATAAATACAGGAACCAATAACAGCCCCCACCCCCCCATCCCTGAAAAAATAACAAGGATATAAAACGAACTATAAATACAAAAAAAAAGATAACTAGAAAATAGAACAATCACAGTAATCGAGAACAACGATTAGAAGAAACTCCGACAACATCAAGCGAAAACAAAACTACCTCAGATAATATAAAAAAAAACCAAACAAAAATACAACAATAAAACATACAACATCCAACACAGAACAAACTTGATCAATTACAGAAACAAGGAACCCTGGCAAAACAACCTCGACCCTCGACAACAACAAGCTAGAACAATTACAGAAAGCAGGAAAAACAACAATTATCAAACAATCTCAGACAACAACAAACATCAACAATGGGAAAAGATAAAAGTTAATATCATAAATACTCCTGTGAAAAACCAATGCTCTCTCTCTCTCTCTCTCTCTTGGGGGTTGCATGACCGAATGGTTAACACGTGTGCGCTGTGTCATAAGGTCTGTCATTGAGTTAACTGGCGTAGTTTCGATTCCCCGGTTGTACCATGTTCCTGAAGCAACGACTGCGAGTTTTACAAAATCTGGACGTTGCTAGATTAGTTCACTTTGCAACTCGATTATCACAGGTAGACTTGGTGTTCGCGACGATCGAGGAATCTGATAGGCTCACAAGCTGGGCTTGTACCCAATCGAAATTAATGCCGAAATATGCAGGTTATTACGCGAAGACCTTGATAAGATGTACGTAGTTAAAGCGAGAACAAGTCTTCTACTGAAGATGCGATTGTACGTGACAAGGAGTAGGATTGCCTGTCAAACCTCGTGGGTTTTCTCGGGGTCCTCCGGTTTCCTCCCACTGCTAAAGACCCCTACGCGCAAGCGAATTATTGAAATAAATTGAACCATGTGTTAGTCCCGAAATGACTTAGTTTTTGTCAAGTGGACGTTAAATCCCATCTCTCTCTCTCTCTCTCTCTCTCTCTCTCTCTCTCTCTCCTATTAAACTTATCTGAGAGATACTAATCAATTGATTACTATGAATGGATCTATTAATGTTGTATTTATGGTGATGGGAAAGTGGTTTTATTGACGATCAGGTGCAATCAGGGAAGCTGATAACTCGGGAATGATCACGTAAATCACGTAAAGTTTTATTAATTCTCGATTGGTCTGGAATTAGATTAAACACGTGCTTGTGCTATAGCAAGAATATTGTTTAAACAAATTCTCCACTGTTCATATGATTTCGTCATACAATCAATCATCAATTATAATTCTATCTGATGATTGATTCTACTAGACATATATTTGGCTGACCACGATATTAAAGATTCGTAAAACACAAATGGTTTATAAATAGATTACATCTTGGAAGATTGTCAAGGGATGAAAATTTATAATATATTATTTTAGTCATTATTATCTATTTGATGATATTATTCAGGCTGTCATTTTATTAAGAAATTTATTCACTGAATCTAATAGACAAGGACCCATTCACGAAGTTCCCATCAAGGAGTAGAAAATGTAAATATTTTGCTCCGACTGGGCTAATGAAGACGGGCATACGCCATACAGTGTGCTATGCACGTGAACGTTTGGCCGGCCCTTATATCGAATTCAAACTTCCAATGGTTCTCTTACATGCACATCAATGTGTACACGGAACCTCGATCTCACCCGAACGACTATACACCTTTCTCTTGCCAGGGCTTCTGTCCTGAACCACAGACAAAGCGGCACCAAGCTGAAAAATACAGATGAACTTTCTCTTACAACACCAGGGCCCTGTTTCTCGAAATCTTAACTAAAGATAAAATCCAAATTTTAATAGATACTTTACTTTTGATTGGCTAAGCACTAAAATTAATATTATCCAATCAAATTACTAAAATTTGGATTTTATCTTAGTTAAAATTTCGTGAAACAGGCCCCAGGATAGAACACGGGTTCCCAAGGTTTGCTAGCCAACGTTTAATCCTCAATGAGGCACTGCGGCTCCTACAAAGAGTAGAACAAACAGTATATGTACAGAACATACATTATATTATATTTTATTTTAGATATTATGTAAAGATTCTGCTGTCTAGTCTTTCGAATGGGACGAAAAACCGAGGTCCCGTGTACACATTGGCGTGCATGCATGTAAAAAATCCCTTGGCAGTTGGAATTCGACATAAGAGTAGGCATGAGTATTGCCTCTGTAAGGGCAACGTATCCTTCACGACAAACTGCATGACGTATACCCACATATGCCCGTCTTCATTTGCCCAGTCGGAACAGAACAGTAGGACGTTAAACCCCATTTCATTTCATATTTAAATAGACAAGGTATCATGCAATGAATCCCCGACAAGCGGAAGTATGTACATGTAGTATATATACAGCACCGAAATTTTCTCGTATTTTATTTCAGACAGTATATATATGAATGATGTTGTAGTGGACTTTCCTTTTATTACAAAATTTATTCAACAAAACTAATGCGAGGAGTTCCAAAGAAACTAAAGCTAAAATAATTAGGTTACTGGACCCAACCACATGATACTAACACCCCACGTCCATCCCACTACGTGCCGATGACCTCAGTGGTGGGTGGCATCTGGTAAAATAATAAAAGCTTGTTGCCTTTTAATGTTGATAAAACTGTCCAAAAATGGATGTTAGAATGGACAGCAAGGCTAGTGTAGAAAAGACACTGGAGATGTATCTAAGCAGTGTGGTATCTAAGACGATAACACAAGTGCAGAATCCAGAGGTCAACCACCAGAACGAACCTAAAGTGTTTTTGTTGTTGGTTAGGAGTATTTTTAATTTTGAAATGGGGTTTAACGTCCTACTGTTCTGCACCGACCAACCCGAAATGTTTTATTTTTGTATATGAGTGTTTTATAAACCCGGTAACAATTT